CGCCACTTGAGGTGCCTAATTATGCCTATTACAACCACTAGTTGTAACTAGGGAAATAATTAGAAAACAAAATCAAAACATAAAAAACATATCTTTTTCAAATAAACTCAGAAAGGGTTGGCTCAAAAAAATAAATAAAAAGTTAAGACAACAAAATTTAACATTTATTTATGTGTCACCACAAACAGTTACATGGAGAAATACAAAATTCAAAAACTTACATGTGTCATCCGTTAACAAACTCCATTGCTACAAAACTTACACAATTGCATGGAGGTTAACCTTTTTAAACAAAAAAAAAAACAAAACAAATCAACATCAAAAATACTTAAACGAGCTGTCATAAATAAACATTAAATTTCAAAAAAAAAACGAAACACAAATTGACAGCTTTACACAAAACCTAAAATTTACAATTTGAAATGTCAACGAAAGCAATTATTAATTTATAAAAAAAATGTCTGTCTTTAATTTAAAATTTGAACAAAATGTTACCTTAATTCACATGACACACTTAACTTTCTGAAACCATAACTGGAACCTGGAACTGAGGGCTCCACTCTCTCTGCATGACGAAAACCTCCATCTCCAAAACTGCCAAAAGCCTTGGATAAAAGCAGGAACAAAAGAAAAACAAAACGAGGATGTCCTCCAATCCTCACTCAAAACATTAATAATTGAAGCATTTACTGCCACAAAACCAATAACAAACTGCTACATTATATTCTTCATAATAAACGATGAAAACAGAATACTTTACAAATTCGACGTGAATTTGGACATAACGTTGAACCGCTCTTGAAAGCTGCTACAACGAGAGTGAAGAAATTCTATTAAATTGAACGCATTCATACAAACGCTGACATAACAAGACACCACGAAACGACGTACATATCCTTTTGCGACGCATTAACTTGAAAAGAAATTGCCGAAGTAAAATAAACAACTCTAAAATGGTTTATTTCAACTTGGCCGACCTAAGAAAGAAATGAAAAGATATTTGGGTTTAAATACGTACGAAATATTTTTAGATCTATCAAAAATATATAAGGTGATTTTAATATTTCGTATACGAGGGGACTTCAATATACTTCAAAGAATCAATGAAATTGAAAATGCTACAGTCCTCAGTGATGAAAATGTCGAGAACCACTGTCTTAGATAATACATTTTCCAGTATTTAACAGTCTTTGGCAATTTTCTATCTCTGTTGTTCCACCTTAGTACTTACTCATTAGTTTTTCTTGCTGTCTTAGGTATTTTTAGCATCCGTCTATAAATCCACATTTGCAATACTTTAATTTATTATCCTTTTAGACCTTTTTAATTCAGTATTATATTTCGTTAGAGCTTTTTTGTAGTTATTTCAATAACCTGGACTTTTAGCTTAGTTGGAGGCTTAGCGTACAATAGCCTTTAATTTTCGTAATTCTTTTCTCTATTGATGGTTTTGTTCTCGATGGGACAAGCTTCCTCATAACTGTTTATTGTCTAGTGATTTAATCTATTTAAGATTTTTTCAAGTTTCTGTGCGAATTTAATAGTATAATAATTATAATCAATTATTGACGCCTTCAACATCTAAGCTTAATTTGTATTTGTGTGAACAATAGTCCGTGTGTTTCGGTTTATGAAGTGACTGTGTCTTAGTTCTAAAAACGTGGGTCTGTAAACCGACATTGAGGCATCATCAGATATACGCCAGTTCTAAGTTATGTGTGTAGTAAAGCAACTAACTACTGTACTATATTTGTAGAGATAAATGCCGATTTGTTATATTTATCTTATCTTTCTTATAAAGTCAAGATTACAAGAAGACAAACAATATAATAGCTGCTTTCCCGTTTTGTTTCTGTCTGTACCGGCTCATACAGTACTGGGAGAATTTGCATCATATCCAGTAATAAGCAGTACATTCTTTCCACCAGCTGATTAAGATTTTAACTTCCGCTGATGAAGAATTATCTTTGTCACTAAGAAAGTACATTCTTTTGTTGAGCAGTATTTGTTTTTACGATTGGTGGGTTGCTAACCTTGTCAATGACCCTCCACATTTTATCCGGGCTTGGGACCGGCTGTGGTAACCGCAGAGCTACTTAATCCACCCCACAATCAGTGTAAAGATCCCAGGCAGTGTAAAAATATCGGGAAAGAAACGAAAGGCAGAATTTACAAAACAGTCATCAGACCAATAATGACATACACGGCAGAAACAAGACCTTACACAGAGAGAACAAAAAGGATGTTAGAAACAGCAGAGATGAAAAACAGAAAAATTGATGGTAAGGCACTATGGGATAGAGCTAGAAGTACAGATATACGACATAGATGCAAGGTGGAGAATATCAAAAACTAACAAATAGAGTAGTAAAGACGGCAAGAGACGGTTCCCTAATAGGAAGACGATCAGTAAGAAGACCACGCTAACGATGGAATGACAACTTACTGAAGGCACATTGAAAAACAGACAGAGTTATGTCTATATAAAAAGAAGAAGAAGAAGACGACTAAGAAAGTAAGCAGAAGCTTTTATTATGTATGTATGTCTTTTACCTCGTTTAGTGCCACAAGAACTTTGGCTATTGTAAGATCCTAAGTGATACACTTTTAAACAAAAGTTTAAAATGATCAAACATGCTCTTGATGTGCGACGCATTTGTAAATAGATCAACTTACTCCTTTAATTTTTTTTATGGCCATGACTTTTAAGTTAGTCCAATATCTCTATGGTTTTTACTAAAGCTCCTACTAGAATGTAGCTTTTGAGTGATGTGCATTTAATTGGAGAAACCTAATAGGTTTTATGGAAACCATTTTTACGAATTCTTGGGATCTTTCTTTGATCCCTTAAATTTTTTGCAAATCTCCTTATTATTTGGTCCTTTACTGGTGACCTTTGCATTAGCTATACTTAAAGATGCAGAACTTAACCTAGGCTTATGCTTAGCTTTTTTGTGGTAACCCCCTCACTTTTACCAAATTTATATCGAAGCCATTACTCTATTCTTTTAAGAATCCGATAACCTTTGATGTTGGGTTATTCAGATTGTCAAGAAGATAGGTCAAAACAATCTCAGTATTAACAATTCTACGAGTCTGAGTAAGATACCCCTTTGTGACTGCATCCTAATTATTTTTTTAGCCGTTTAACTGTGGCTTTATCATTAGGAGTCAGCTGTTTCCAGATTGGTTTGAACTGTAGGTTACTGAGTTTTTATTCCTACATTTTATTGCCTCTCGGTATGATGAGCCAAAGAGAAATAACACATATTATCTTTGATCTTATGCTTGCCCATATAATTTATCTTAAGTTTCCATGAGGTTTTTTGTCACATAACATGTTTCTGATTCCTTATATTTAAGCGACCTATTTGCAATAATAATTTTGTTTTAAATAAAAGTTTTAGAAAAATTCGCTCACTAGCTTCCGCTAGTTTTGCAATAACTTCTTTTTAACCTTTCCTGCTGTCACCATATAGTCAGCATGTAGTAAGCTCAAATGAATTGTTATTGTTATTGTCTGACATCTGAAATCCAACGTTAATGATGATAATAATTACATTAATGACATTGAATTCCGAGAACTAGTTCTGATGCATAGAAATCTACACTAAAAGCCAAATAAAGTTGCGTGCACGTCACCAATGTCGTAATTCTATTGTATGTGTGGCTACATTTCTATAGAAAAGTGTATGTTACTTTAGTTTGCTAAACAATCACTTTTAAAAATAACCCGATCAATAAAAAAACTTTTCTAACAAAATAATGTATAATATACAGCTATGTATATATAGTTTTTTTGGATTTAGACGTCCGTCATTGTAAAATTTTGTGTTGAAATGTTCATGAAGAAACCACCAATTATTGACGGAGTATTAGTCACTACCAGAAATATTGTCATGTTGCCGCGCGTCGTTTGTTGAATTTTCAATCAGTGGTCTGTGATTTTTGTACTCGTGGTATCGTCGATTTTTGAGGTTATCTTGTGAAAAACATTTATTTACTTGTCAAAATGACCAAACAGCTAAATAGTCGATGCAAAGAACTTGTGACTTCATTAGTTAATTATTTTGAAGAAGAAAGGATTAATAATGGCTCTTTGTTACTCTTAAACGCTGTACAAGAGGTAATATTCGAATAGAATAACATTACTTTAATTTAAAAAAATTTGTATGATTTTAGCGTGTAGCTGCTGCTTTAAAAATCAGCGTAAGAACAGTAAACAGCATTATGTGCATATGTCAAATGTAGAAAAAAGGTGAACAATTCGAGTCACCAAAGAAAAAGTGTTGCACTAATAAACGAGTAACTTATTTTTTGGTAACTTAGTAATAACTTTACAACTTTTATTGTGAAATTACTTACTTTGTGAAATCTATTCATGAATGTAATTAACAAAAAAATAAATGAAAAAAAAAACACTCATTTTTATATTCCACTTAATATTGTTACGAAAATTAATTAATTTTGTCAAAACCAGTGCCAATAAAACACACACACACACACACACAATATTGTTACGAAAGATTTATCCCACATAGGAAAAGTCCATTGACGAAAAAGAAGAAGTAGTTCGAGAACATTCAAGATGACATCGAAAATTCTTGAAATGTCTAGTGAAGTTTGGAACGTCAGAACATATGTATATAAAAGATGTTTTTGACAGTTGGGGAACATATGTATTTTGAATGTAGAAGTTTATAGTTGTCAGTTAGTTAAAAGTATTGTTATATTGTTGGTGTTGAATAAAGCTAAGTTTCAAGAAGAGTAACAATATAGTGTGAAATTTGCTATCTTCACCTTTTTGTTTATTTAAGTTCTTTTCTGTTAATTTTCATACTTCATAAACCATCTGACAACGCTGCAAATATTCACAATGATGACGTGAACGCAACTTTATTTGGCTTTCACTGTATATATTTAAATTTAATGGGATAATCTAAAGATAAAGGTGCCACTGTAGAGGCACTAAAAAGTCTAATAAATATTTAGATACTTACATTGTTTACTGATACGTCGAATTCATTGAAAAAGTCTTCTTCACTACTCAAACTATATTGTACATCATCTTCCGCCTCATCTCTGTGGTAAATAAATCCATTCAAGGTCTTTTGGAGAGCAGTTTTTAAAGTAGGAGTAACTTCATTGTGGGTGGAATTTTCTAAACTTGAAAGTTGGGCCTCCATTTTAAAATATTTCACTATGAAATATGACAATATATCAATATTAAATAACAACATAATAATTGTCAACGTCAAATTATTATAAAATATACATATATATATATATATATATATATATATATATATATATATATATATATATATATATATATATATATATATATTATTAATATGACCTGATTTGTTTTAATTTTTGTTACTTCTAATAGAATTAAACTAGATCAAAAATAATATTTAATTTCTCCGGGTTCTTAACTACACAATAAAATTTATTTTACTTTCAATTCGTGGCTTCTAGTATTTCCTGGATGCTGGCTTTCTTTAGGATAGACAAAGGAAATAAATATTATAATACAATTTATAACCTTTTAAAGCAATCACCATTTATTTCAATACCATATATAATTATCAACATAAAAATTGTATACACTGAATCATCTATTCCTCAGAGCAAAAGAAAACTTAATTCTGTTATTTTTCTTTTAAAAGAAATTTATTTAATTTACTGCAAAATTGTTCTCATTAACTTTCTTAAAAACAAACAAACAAATTTTATTATATACAAATTTTCTGGCTTTCTCTTTCCAAAAAACTGTTACACAGAAAACAGCATTTGTTCAGTTTCTCTCCAAATTAAAAAAAAAACACTTCCGACTCGTTCTACAATAATAATATTGGACTCTTTTAGCAAATTCCGTCTACCGTCTCTAATAGTTATCTTGTACAAACTTTATATAACTTTTTTCCTTTTCTTACAGATTTAGAAGTGTACTCGGATACAAGGAGTTTGAGATTCTCGACCTGGGCCTCGATTCGTGTACAACTATTCTACTCACCAACTAAAACTTACACACAAAAACTTATAATTCTTTTTCACATACTGTTCTTAAAGTGGATTTCTCGTTCTCGATCCTAAAAACACAATGATTCAAATCTCCTGGTTTAATTTTCAAGTCGACTGTCCTATCTCCTTCCCTAGTACTTTCTAGCCAATCCATATTCATGCATACAAATTCATCCCACTACCAAAGACTAGACTAGACTTATTTAACTCAGTATATAAAACAGGACACATACCGAAACAGTGGTTACTCTCCATCTTTTGTGCTATCCCTAAAAATACAAACGATAAATATTGCAGCAAATACAGAACAATATCACTAATAAGTCACATTCTAAAATTATTTCTGAAAATAATACATGGTCGTATAAATAAAAAACTGGAAGAGGGAATAAATGATAGTCAGTTTGGGTTCAGAAACGGACAAGGAACCAGAGAAGCGTTATTTGCTTTTAATGTGTTTGCTCAAAGATGCATGGATATGAATGTTGACGTGCATGTTTGTTACGTTGATTTTGAAAAAGCATTTGACAAATTAAGACATGAAAAATTAGTCCAAATTCTAAAGACAAAAAAAAAATAAACCACAGGGACTTACGAATAATAACAAACCTCAACTGGAATCAAAGAGCACAAATCGTAATAGATAACGAACCCAGTGCATAAATTGAAATCAGGAGAGGACTTAGGCAGGAATGTATTATGTCCCCATTATTGTTTAATGTATATGGTAAAGCCATTTTTGACGAAGCATTACTATCTCAAAGTGAAGGAATAATAATTAACAGAAGATCTATTAACAACATAAGATATGCAGATGACACCGTGATTATGGCAAACTCTGCTGAATAACTCCAATTACTGCTAAACAAAACAAACAGTTTCTGTGAAAAATATGGACTAAAAATGAATATAAAAAAGACCAAATACATGATAATAACAAAGAAAACAAATATACCAACAAACATACATTTGGGAAATGTATCGATAGAAAGGGTTGATAAATACAAATACCTAGGGACCTGGATTTCAGAGAATAATGATCAAACAATCGAAATAAGATCTAGGATAGAAGTAGCAAGAAATGCGTTTGTACAAATAAAAAAAGCAATTCTCTGCAACAAAGATCTTAGATTAGAACTGAGAGTAAGAGCACTGAGATGCTACGTGTTTTCGATTTTTCAATATGGACTTGAAAACTGGACATTGAAGCAAGAACACATAAATAAGTTACAGTCCTTTGAAATGTGGTGTTACAGGAGGATGCTTAGAATAGCATAGACACAGAAGAAAACTAACACGGAATTATTGCGAGAAAGGGATAAAGAATGCGAAATAATAAGCACAATAAAAATAAGAAAGATTCAATATCTAGGACACGTAATAAGGGGACAGTGATATGAACTGCTAAGGCTGATAATACAGGGAAAGATAAGAGGAGGAAGGAGTATAGGAAGAAGGAGAGTGTCATGGTTGAAGAATTTACGGGACTGGTTTAAATGCAGTTCTATAGAACTCTTTAGAGCAGCAGTAGACCAACCTCCGATTGGGAGACGGCACTTAAAGAAGAAGAAGATATTTACTAAACTTTTTTTTGTTTTGCTACAGACAAATGCCTCTTTGTAAAAGATAATATGTATTTATAGCATTACCTTCGAAGAAAATAATATATTTTTTTTAACCTAATTTGTCCAAATTTACAGCACATTTCATGCTAGTGTCGGTAAATTTGTTGCTTCACATAACTCCATAAAAAATTTGGAAAAAGTCCAAAGTTACAAGATCGGGAGAGCCAGGTTGCATTTTTATGTTACCTTTTGTACTAATAACTCTATTTGGAAAAGTCATGTTTAAAAATCAACACCTCCCGTACATTGTGAGCCCCTACGATTTTACGGCGACACAAAGTGTCCACAATTAAAAAAGGGCCAATTACGTTGTCATCTTAAGTACCAGCCCCAGGCGTTGACAGCAAGATTGCTGACTTTTTGACGGTACTGTATTTTGTAAGGAACACTTATGTGACTATTTAGTATAAAACAATATATTAGTGATCCTACCCGTATTGCTGACACTAGTAAGACTTTGGTAGATTATGTATTTTCTAATTAAAATAATATAAATGCTTGTATTCACGACTGTCCAAAAATTACTGATCATTCTGTTATTTCAGTGAATATCTCAAATAATAATAGTTATAATATATCTGATGGTAATATATCCAAGTTAAGAAATTTATGTAATCAAAACTTAGATAAAATCAAAACTAATCTTATCATGTGTCACTTTAATTTTGATTCTGTTGATGTTAATATCATTTACCACGAAATTTTACAAAATTGTGAAAATGTAATCAATGACATAATACCAATTGTAAAATACCAGTTTCAATCAAAATTACCTTGGTTTGATTATGAGGTGTTTAAACAAATTAAACAACGTGACAGGGCTTATAAAGATTTTAAAAAATGTATTGATGTCATTGAAAAACAACATAAATGGCAGGTTTTTAAGAGACATAGAAATGAGGTAGTAAATATGTTAAAGCTAAAAAAAGAGCAATTCTATTTTAACAATATAGACAGGTATAGAAACAATCCAAAAAAAATGTGGAAAACTTTAAAAAAATTAATCAATAATAATAGTCGAGAAATGCCAAACACAGTAATCTTTGAAACTACTACTGGTCTAAAACGGTTAACAAACGAAGTAGAAATAGCTAACAGTTTTAATGAGTATTTTGTGGAAAGCATTGAAAGTATTGTTCAAAGTATTGATAGTTCTGAAACATGGTGTAATGTAAATAGTAATCTTTATTTAAATTTTGAAAAATTTAAAATGCTTTCTATGCAGGATTTGCGAAAAATTATTGGCAATTTGGATAATAAATTCTCACTACATGAAACGTTAAATTGCAGAATGGTAAAGGAAGTTTTTGAAACTATTGGGCACGTTATGTTAAATTTAATTAATACATCTCTTACTACGAGTAGAATTCCTGATGTATTAAAAATAAGTAACATCACCCCTATTCAAAAAATACCCAACACTATCAAAGCTGAAGAATTCCGACCAATCAATACTTTACCTCCTATAGAGAAAATATTAGAAATTGCTGTTTATGAACAATTATTAGAACATGTAACTAAAAATAAAATTTTAATTAATAATCAATCAGGTTTTCGAAAACAATTCTCTTGTGAATCAGCGTTACAAGTTACATTATGTCACATAAAGAGTAATTTAGATAAAAATATGTATGTAGTCGGTGTATTTCTTGATTTAAAGAGAGCTTTTGAAACCATTGACAGAACAATAATGATTTCTAAACTTAAACAATATGGTATAGGAGGTACAGTAATTGCGTGGTTAGAAAATTATTTACAAGATCGCAAACAGAAAGTTCGATTTAAAGACCAATTGTCATCTGAAATGGATAGTAATACAGGGATTCCTCAAGCTAGTGTATTAGGCCCCCTTTTATTTATTCTGTACATTAACGATATCGATATTTTTGTAAATTGTGAATTTATTAATCTTTTTGCCGATGATACTCTAATCTGTTGTAGTGATAAAAATTTTGATTTAGCTATTCAAAAAATGAACACCATTTTAGATATGGTTAATATATATTTAAAAATGAATAAACTTAAGTTGAATGTGAAAAAAACAAAGGCAATGATTTTCACTACCAAACATAAATATAGCTTGCTTGATTCTGAAATCATAAATTTAAATATTAATAATAAAAAAATTGAAATTGTCACAACAGTTAAATATTTGGGATTCCAGCTTGACAATACTCTGAATTTTGAGAGTCACTTCGAGTACGTTCATAAAAAAATATCAAAAAAACTTTACTTTCTGAGTAGAATATCTCAAAATTTATCAATGGAAACAAAAATAACAGTATATAACACAATTATTCAACCTCATTTTGACTATTGCTCATCAATTTTATATTTATTTAATCTTAACAAACTTAACATGCTACAAAAATTACAGAACCGTGGAATGAGAATAATTCTTAAAACAAATCGCCGTACCCCAATTGGGTCGATGTTAAATACTCTAAATTGGTTCTCTGTTGAAAATAGACTGTTTTATTTCACCATGATTTTGGTCTTCAAAATAGTAAATGGCTTATCACCTGAATATTTTCAAGAATTCATTTCTTTCAACAAAAG